ATTAAAATATGTGTAGAAATCAACATATTACACACAATGCTCATTATGAGTGGAGTTGTGGGTTCATCAGAATTGTCTTTACTTTATATTTTGCTTGACGTCCTCAGATCTTTGGATCTTTTAATATTATATGAGGACATGTATCTCCAGGATTTTAGAGAATCTACACACAGTTGTGTTACTATTTAATTGGGAGCAGACCCATTTTAAAATGTACTTTGAGGTGCTTCTAGCACTCTGTTACTAAGACATCATTTATTCCTGTTGACAAAAATAACAGGCTTTCACAGTTTTTATACAATAATGTATAAAAACAAGATGCTCCCTAATAAGCTTTTGGAGGAAACCTAAACCTTATGAAGCATTGTTTTGTTCCCCTTTCCTCATGAGGACGAGCTGTTCATCCAGACCTACTGTCGACCACACAAACTCGATTGATAGAAAAGAGGAACTGGAAGTTGAAATAGGGACTTTTTTTTGTCAGGATGAAATAAAATTTAAAAAGCGCAGCAACCAAAATGTCCAACTTTGAGTTTTTGAAAAAATAATCCTGATTTAAAAACCACCCAGAGTGATTCAGATGTAAAGACAATCAGTGTTCAGTGACTGAATGCACTTTTACACCTGCATTTTCTTAAAGTTTACACCTTTCTCGTACGTCACTCATATTCAAACAGTTTGCAATATCCCAAAATCTGCTCACACAAATGTGTCCTGGAGTCAGATGTGAGGACTTTTAGGGATTGACCGTAGGGAGACTTTATGAGCCAAAACCGGCTCACCAGCTTTACAACAGGATCAAATAGCACCTGTTATTTCAAATGGCCAATATGAACATTAAATACTCCCATGAGTGTTTTTTTTATGACTGTAAAATTATATGATGAAGGATTCTCTTTCTTTACGTTTACATTTAAAAAAAAGACAATTTTAACTAATTTTTGATATTTTCACTGAAAAGGAAACCTAAAAAAAGGGCACCACAAAGAATGTGGTGTCCAAACTGTTCAAATCTAGGGTTGCCATAATTAATAATGATTCAAATATTTGATAATCATGCCTTTGTTGTCCTCTTATTGAGCCTGTTTGAAACATGGTGAAACTATTTGGCTTTCATTAAAACATACAAGCAAACGCTTGTTTTCCACCCATGTGTTTCCGACAAAAAGCTGCTATTCTTTATTCATATTCAGGTTATTAGCAGATTTTGTTTGTATTGTATTGGCATAAAAGAGATCAGACTTCAAATAACTCTTTATTAGTATTACATGGAATCCAGATTTCAGACTGAAGCATTTTGTCTGTTTAACTAGTGCGGTTATAATATTTAGGACAATCCATTTAATAACTTTAAGTATATTAACTGGCTACCAATTAGACCCTTCTCTGGTGGATGAGGAAACTGATAAGAATGGCACACATTTTCCAACTAACTCTGAGTGTTGCTGTGTAATACAAATGCTTCTCTCATTCTAAAAACCTCAGATAGCCTCTACAAAGGTATTTCAGAAGATGATTTTTCTCTATCTCTTCTTTATTTGAGCAAACACCTTCACATTTAAATTAAAAAATTTTTAATAACTGTCTAATTAATTATCACTGGATTGTCTAAAACCAACAGCCCGGCACTTTTCCCCTTAATGCTGATTTGTTCCTCCACAATCAGACCCCAGATAATGCCACTGTAGTGGGAATCAGAATCCAAGTCTTCTCTCCAATAAATCATGTCATCAGCCCACAGATTTATGTGGTGACCCCGTGGGGGGGCCGCCTGACCTCTGGCGGGGGGGCCACACCACTGAACTACCAAACTCCATTAAAACAGCCTCACGCTGGGCAGCCAAACAGTAAAAAGCTGCCTGAGAGTGCTGCGATGAGGGTGTGTTTACCATCATATATCTGCTGTGTACCTGCCAGAGGACTGCTATCCAATTAATGATTGATTTTACTTTATTTTGTGTCTAATTTTAAGATTGCTTTGGATAAAAGCGTCTGCTAAATGAACAGATAAATAAACATAAACATAATATTCTGTGTTGTTATAACTTATCAACCCATGCCACTTTTATGTTTACCATATAAAGTTGTTTTTTTTAAGTACTTAAGGGGGTGTTAAAAGAGGGACTGCAAATGGCTGAGAAACCCAGTCAAATAAATAAGATAAATACATAAATATATCTATAAAAATCACGTGAGGTCAGCAGAACTGGCTTTAGTCTTTGGTGGATAAAAAGGTGCCATGTGTCTTTAAGTGGAGTTTCCACCTGTTCCTGACCCAACATGTGGCCTTCAGCCTTTAGCCGGACTTCAACACTTGTAGAAACTTGGACTTTTCTTGGGTTTTCTTGCTGTTTCGCCCCCCCCCCAAAATGAGCCCGCCCCCCAAATACATTCCCTCTATTTCGGTGCTTCCTCGCGCTGCCAAGCCCCTGACGTAATGCTCTGCTGTTAATGATTAGCATGTGGAAACGAGCAGCGCGAGACTCCCTACGTCAGCCTGGACGGAACAGACCCGGAAACGGAGGAGCCTGGCCTTCAAAGTAAAAGCACAGATTTTAATTCACAGCACTTGAATGGTCTACCACTGATTTACTTGCTTCCATTGAGCAACAGTTTCTTGAAGTACTTAATGGTATTTCTTACATGCAGCTTTACAAGCTTTCCAGGGTCTGAACTCCGACCTAATTTAAGCAATTTATACAAAAATGTACCCAGCATGAAGGTATAAAACCTTCATATCAAAGGCAGCTTACAAAAGAAGTAATTCTAAGTTGTTACGAGCAGCCTTCCTAAAAAACACAGCACTAACATTTCTCTGGTTGCCTATCCTGTAAACATACCAAATAAAGAAAATTTGAAAGATGAAAGAAAATTTGATTTTTTTAACTGATAAAGTAATTGCCAAAGAGGTAATAGCTTCCAATCTTCATATCTTTGCATGGTGGCAACTGTGTCGTTAAATATTTGAGGAAACTTGACGAATGGAGGATGAAAGAAAAGTGGCAAGCTGACAGATCCATAGATAGATAGATAGATAGATAGATAGATAGATAGATAGATAGATAGATAGATAGATAGATAGATAGATAGATAGGTAGGTAGATAGATGGATGACCCAGGTACAGGTTTCTGAAGCTGGACGACAAAGAGACACGAACCACTGTCACATCAGTCTATTCCACAAAAAGGTAAATTCACGGCGGCCAGAGAGGAAAAACCTGAAGGGAATCTTTAAATGGCCACA